TAAGCAGCCTGCCGCGTACGGCGTTTTTTCTCAGCTTTGCTGGATACAACAAACAAGCCTCCTGCTGCCGGGGTTTGGGGATCGCCCAGCACGGGCAGAACACAAGGGCAAGGCAGCTGCCCCGTCCGGCTCCTGCTGTTTGACGTGCTTGGCAGCAAATTGGTATGCTTTCTGGAGCTCCCTTCCACAATGAAGTTAGAAGGACATCATCATCCTGCCAGGCTCCCTCCAACCCCAAAGATCAATAACTAATGCTGAACTCCAGATTTTATCTGCACTTTGCAAGGGTAACAAAATAACACCACCCTCTTTTTTTTCTTTCCAATTACTAAATCCTTTCAAGATTGACCCAGTAGTTTTCAGCTCCATGAAATTTTAGGCAGTGAAGAAAGTGATGAAAGTGATCCTCCAGAGTGTTTGGAGAACTCCTGTGTGTGGTTTTGCTCGCTGTACAGAAGTGCAAAAGCACAGTACAGGGTACAGAAATAGAGGATTACCAACACTTTCTTTCTAAAAAGAAATGGCATCTTAACTAAGCTGACCCAGAGGTATTTGCCTTCTAAGTGCTAGTTCACTGCATGCCCGCTATCACAACTAAGTGGCCAAGCTAGAAGGAGAACCCTTGCAAGAACACCCGGCATCCCAGTGAAGCTAGGGATTATTTTACCTACAATACTCCAAAAATTAACCACTCCTTCAATTAAATACTCACAGATACTGTAGCCTGCCATTAATACAGCTAGAGAGATAGGCATGAAATGCAATCGCTCTGAGTCTTATTTTCCTTAGAGAACATCCAGGAATAGTTGGACATTAAAAAAGAAAAAGACACCAGCAGAGGCAACAACATGGTATGCTTGATGACATTTTTAATGTTATAAAAGTTATGGGCTTCATTGGCAAGGCATTAAGTTTTATTTTGGGTGGGATTTTCAAGCCTTCCCAAGGTATTAATAAAACTGTTCAATGATGAGCAGCTTTTAGAATCCCTCTTACTATGTCTTGTTAAATCTGTGCATCTCCACTAACTAATCTGTGTTGGCCCAGTGCCGCGCATACAGGCCAGTTACACACTATCAGAATACACACACGAATAACACACACGTGCCAGAATTATGTCAACAAATATTCTCAATTTGCTTGCGAGGAAATTTATCTCGCCTCCTAGCAGTAGGGAGTGAATTGTAATACTTTTCCTTTCCCTTGCCTGCGTTGATTATTCATAGACTATCTACAGTAAACCACAACGGATATTTTATCTGCCATTTCTCTTTCCCTTGGCTAATTTGAAGATACAGATTGCAACCCGCAAGTGGTTTTAAGAATTGCCATTAACACTGTTGCTGCACAGTACTGCATTTTAAACATGTTTCCAACACAATCAGAATGTCACAATTTGTAAAATCTGGGGCGATTTTATAAACGATCGATGTAGCAGAACTCGCTTCATCACAACAGCCCACCAGCCAGTTTATTAGCCTGATTAGTGGTAGCTACCTCTACAGAGAAGGAAAAAATGTCTAAGAAGACTAGATAAATTCAAGCGTGAAGATGAAGATGACTGTCTACCCTGCCTTTTACACTTGCTTCTTCCTTCCACCTGTATTTGGCAGAGGTAAAGACCCGGAGCTCAGACTTTCATGCCCTTCTGGCAGCTGCTCCAGCCGCAGCAGCGCAGCCCCTCACCACCAGCCTGGCTTCACCCGCTCGCAGGAATTTTGGCTAATCTCAGCAAGTAAGCAGCACTGTCCTTCACCCAGCAAAAGGGTAAGCCTGTTCCCTGGGATACAGCCTCACAAACAGAGCTGACCCTCCCGGGTACCAGAGAACTCCCTTACTTGCCAGCAGCAGGGAGGGGGGCTGCAGCCCACCCTGCCCCCTGGATGGCACAAGCAAGTGGGAGAGACCTGGGTCCGGAGCCTGACTCTGGTGGAGCATACAGGAGGTGCGGGTAACATCACCGCCTAACAGCACTTGGAGTTTGCTTTTGGTCCTTTTGGACTCTTAGTTCCTCCCCCCTTAGATCTCGTCTAGGAGCTTACACAAGGATGCTAATGCAAAAAGAAATGTTATGGCTTGCATGTAGAAAAAAACAGGCTATAAAAAAAATTAACCAATGAAATAAATTCACAGAATTCCTGGGGAAGAAAAGGAAGACCTGTTGCCTCCCGTCTTCAACACACATCATGGGGAAAAAGCCCTTTGTGAAAAAACCGAAAAGTTTCATGGCAGCTAAGGTGCCCCCTACATCTGCAGCCCTCAACTTCAGCAGTTATGGACCTTTTCTCCAGATAAGATGGAAAGATGCTTCTGAAAGAGGAATCCATCCTCTGGGGCTTATCGCTCAGGTTCACACCTGAATAGCAGGGTTCCCCAGCGTGCTATTCCAGCTTCTCCTAAGAGCACAGAAAAGCTGAACCATAGCTGTTAGAGCAGAGCTCAGCACTAGCAGAGCAAACGCCAACACTTCCCGGTGCCTTCATGCCTTGGAAAGTGCTTACAGCAGCACAGTGCCACCGGTGGGGGACAGAGCAGGGATCACCTTGAGGTACGCGGGGAAGCGACAAGCGTCTTGCTTGCAGGAAGCAAAGGAAGGTCTAACACACCACTGCTTTATTTTTAATGTCCCTGCAGAGTCTCCTGCCTAGTGGAGCCCAGTCAAGGCAGGCACAAGCTGTTGAAGAGACCATCAATGAGTTCGGTGGGCAGGAACAGAGCTCACTGCAGGCACAGCCAAGAGCCTCAGTGGGAACAAAACTCCAGGATTTGGGACATTTCAGCAAATGGAGACTTTCTCTCCCTGTCTCTGGAGCAGAGTCCTTATCTGGGGATGAGGCAGCCACTGGGGCCACCCAGCCCTGCCGATGGGCTGCAGTTGTGCTGCAGGACAGGCTGACGTCCCGCAGGACAAGCTGCCCACGTGGAGCCCCCTGTGTCTCCAGCCTCCTGCGCCCTTGGAGAGGGACAGCGGAGACCTGCTCTGCGGGGTGACAGAGGCAGAGACAAGAAACCACAGGTCAGGGCCTTGCAATTCAGGCTGCAAAAGCCTCAAAAGGACATGGAGGTGAACGCCAGGATGCACTGCCAGCCTATCTGATGCACACCACATAAACTTGCCAGGTTAAGAAACAGTTTGAGAAGAAAACAAGGAATACAAACAGAAGCAGGCAGAAGACTCCCTGAAACTCATTCACAGGGGCCAAATCTCCTGAGTATGTGCCTTGCTGGGACCAGAGCCCCCCGGTACTCCTTGAGCCCAGCTGCCAGCAGACCACGTCAGAGCAGGGACGCGGGGCCCTTGTGCCCAGCACAAAAGCACCACATAACGCAGCTCTTAAATGCAACAAACAACGTGCCAAGATCCTGAATGGAGAAGGGTATTTATGACCTGTTTAAGGGTAGTTGCAAAGAGAAGGGTGGAAAATTCCCTGGATATAAAAGGAAGTTGTCAGGGGTTGAACTTTCCAAACTATGTAAGAGTTTTGAACACTTGGTTCCTGTTACAAAACTGATGGGCTGTTCACATGCCTTCCCTGCCTCTGAAGAGCTTATCTTTCCAAGCAAGTCTTTTGCTCGCTGCTGCTGAATTTTCCAGGGTACTACGATCCCTGACTTCAGAGAGGGATCAGTGCCCGGGAGGGAACTGCTGGAGGGAGGGAATGCTATCCTGGAGGTTTGCCTGACTCACCCAGCCATCCGCATGCACTAAGTTGCTTGTTAAGGAAAATATCAGAGCAGTGAATAATTCTGACAGTGCTGGGAGGTCAGGTCTTCTGACCCTGCCACAGAGATGAAGACGAGGCGAGGTGGCAGCGGCCGGGCACTCTGGGCTGCTCCCCTCTCCCATTCCCAGGGCTCCCATCGCTGCCTGGCCGGGCACAGGCTCCTTTACACCTTCTGGCAGCCTCCCTAAACAAACGGGCTACATATACCACTCCAAGTAGCTGACACATTCATGGCTGAGACAATAACCATATCAGTCAAGCGAGCCCCCCCAAAGATTAAACTAAAGTGGCTGGAGTGTGAGGGCAAATGACAAACCGCGGGGCTACACATCCACGCCGTCGCACCGGGGCCGAACCCACAAGCTGCGCTGGTTCTTCCTACGCTGCCTCCAAACACACGCCATGTTAAAGCAAGGAGACTGGTGGCATAAAATCAATCTCGTTTGGAGGGAAAGGAAGAGGGTCTCGGAGCCTGCCCCCAGTGCAGTTCCTGGTGCCACCGTGAGAGCCCAGGTACGTTTTATCCCCACCCAGCTGAACTGAGCCGCTGCCAGGCTGCTCTCTGCCTGGAGCTCAGCATCTCTGCTGCAGCGATAACGTGAACCACTTGCCGAGAGACAGAGGAGCATCATTTATTTTCACTGAAAGGAATGGCCATAACATTGAAAATAATCCTTAGCTCATTTTCACAGAACTGTACAAGCAATGATGAAACCTTGTCTCTCTTGTGAAATATGTGGAGGGAAATTCCTCTTCTGGAGATCCTGTTTATTCTGAGCTACCATCACCAGAGGACGAGCAGTCCTCAGCTTCAAAACTCCAGCATGCTTGAAACCCCAGCGGAGGAGTTTAGCACCTTAATTTCCTGGTGTCTCAGCTTAACTGGCCTTATGCCCAACTTAATCTAATTCTAGCCACTTTGGTACAAACCCTCTGCTTCCCTGCAGCCTCACCACACACAGCTCCCTGGGCTTTACTATCCCCAGGGACACCACGGAGCCTGACAAATGGTCCTCCCAAAGATAAGTCATTAGACTGACCAGAAGAGTCACCTCTAATAAGAAAATCCATGTGACATGTAGCATTACATGCCAAACAGCCCTTCCTCCACAACACCTGCAGGACAGAGGGAGCCATCTCAAATACAGATGGCTTTGCTGACTTAGCACCACTGGATTTAGCCACTGGGTCATCATGTTGACACTGATTTTTGGCTGTGCTCACCATGCAGAAGCTGTCAGAAAATGTGATGTCTGAGCTCCCGTTCTCTCTTACCTCTATGCCTGTTGGTCGTCTTGTCAAACATAAGCATGGCGTCCTCTACCTGCAAGACAGAAGAGGGGAGATGCGTGCTTTAACACACCGGCTGCGTGGTTCGCAAAAACACAACAGACAAACTGGGAAGGGGAGACAAAGGCAGGAGCAGCCTCAACTCGGGTACAAACGATGCATCAGATCTCCTTGCTTTTGCTCAGAGTCAGCTCTTCCTTTTGGAAATCTGCTGCTTTCAACCCCCATCCTAGCTGACATTTGATCCTAAAGCAGAAAAGCGAACATTAAAAGTTCTGTTGCCCTAAAAAGCCCAATAGCTAAGGAGCTCTTGCACCTCTCGTCGGTCCCTGTCTGTGCCTCATCTCAGCCTTTTTCCCTTTTGTAGGGAGATAAGGAAGGGCCAAGAGAGGAATCGTGGATGCAAATCAAGCCCATGACTTCTCGAAATTAAGAGTCACTGTCTTGGCTGAGAATTAGTTTTCAAGAAGTATGAGCAGGGTAAAATCTGGTCAGCCAAGAAAGGTATTCAGAGGTTTTCAAAAGGCCTTTTGAAAAGCTAGAGGAAAGAGGGGAGAGGGAGGAGGGAGAAAGTTTAATTCGCATCAGGCTTGGCATTTCCACTTCAGAAGAGAGATGACTGATGAAACGTATTGAAGTGCAACCAAATTGCTTTCAACTTTCATTACTATTTGCATGATTTATTCCACCTCCATTTAATCTGTGCAGCCACACCTAAAATTTTACACTTATTTTAGAAGGATGTTGTGCTGGGGTTTATTTTTCAGCATTATCACATTTTAAACTTGCTCAGAGGCTGCAGGAGCTGGGGCAGGTCGGTCCTGCATGCTGCCGGAAACATCCTGGGCAATAATCTTTCTGAAAAGAAATTACAGACTTGCTATTCCCCGTTTGAAACTAGAGGCTGATGAAAACCTGTATCACCGCTAAATTGCAGACGTTGGGGGAAGGGAGAAGATCTTTAAATAAAAGGTTTTATTCTTTAAAGGACTCCACTGGTTATCTGTGGGGGTGGGTTTTGGGGTTTTTTGTTTGTTTGGGGTTTTTATGGGTTTTGGGGTTTTTTGTTTGGGGTTTTTCTTCCCCAGTAATTTTTATGATGCTTCCATGTTCTTATATTCTGGCTTTCTACAAATCATTTATTTTAAGGAAAGTGACTTACAATGCAGTTACATGCTCTCTTCACCTTACACAGTGCCACCAAAGGGTCTACCTTTCACCCCAAAAAGGCACGCCCGTGCCTGCTTTGTGCTGACCTCTTCCTTTCTGCCAACACGTTTGCACAGCAGATCAAGCCAGGGAACTGCTCCAGGTTAAAATGAACTGCACTTTCTCTCCAGGTTAGTTTTAAGCCAGATCAGTTTCCCGGCACGGCCAAACCAACGCTTGTGCTAACGCAAGGGACGGGCTGCTGCAGAGGGCAGAGAAGCAGCACCTTATGGGAAGGTGGGACCACTTTCGGTACCTGTGCCAGCTTCTGCTGCCTTAATGTGATCCTGGAATTACAGCAGGATTTGAAAGCTCCCGCCTGGACAAAATTCATGGTTCAGGGAGTATAGTTTGACTGTAGTCCTCTTATGCAGAGGAGCACACATCCAGCCTACTTCTGTGCAGAATTACAATGTCTTGGCTGGGCAGAGACATGTTTTGGGAAGGTGGTAAAAACAAAGCTTGAACCTCTCTTAACTACTGGACTGAAATATGTTCCAGGATATAGTAAAAAACCACAGTGCAGCAAAACCTTACACTATGCCTAAACTAATCTAAAAACCTGTCTCGGGTTAACTTGTTCTCAACTTTTTCAGTCCCAGTGGTTTGCAAAACGTGTTAGCAATAGCCTGAGATGGAGGAGAACAGCATGCCTCCTTGATACCCATCTTGAATGAGACCTAAAGATGCTGATGTACTGAAAAATCCAAACCACATTAAGCAGAGAGCCATTTGTCCTGCTGTCTTTCTTTACTCCACGGAAGAAAACTCACAAGTATGAGTAATATCAGAAGGCAGATAAGGACAGAGCTCCCCTTCACCCTACCACCACCGCTTATCTCTGCTCCAGGGTTACGTTAGCACAGCAATCTTTATTTTTCATTCTCAGAGGTCTTGGCCTCACTGGAACCAAAAATTACATGTTGCACCTAATGCTGTTTCCTAGAGCATCGTGGCTTCCTCCGCCTCGGTCCCCGCAAGCGTGCTGACCACCCTTTTGTCCCCACGCCAGTTGCTGTTGCAGAAGTTTTAACATGCAACTCTTCCAGCATAACCTCTTTGCCTCAAATCCCATATTAGAGCCCAGAGAGGTCTCGGGCATGCTGCAGCACAGATCCCACCAGCCCAGGGAGGTCCTCTTCCCCCGACCCAGAGGCTGCCGCTGTGCGCAGGCTCTCCCGGCTGGATCCACACATTTCAAAATGACACCTCCTCCTGCAAGGACATGAATTACCAGGGACTTTCAAAAGGCTGTTTGTATTGCTTTTAGGGGGAGAAAAGACATAAGATGAGGCACAACACGACTCTAACCTCACTTCAGCATGGCCATGTCTCAGCCCGAAGTCTCCCAGCAGGCTGAAGCCTGAGCTGCTGGGTGCAAAACCCTCTCTTGGGCTCAGCTGTGGCCCGCAGCAGCACCACCACGGGTTTGAACCTCTTGTGCAGCCTCATCCTGCTCCTCCAGGTGCTGCCGTGGCAGAGGAGGGACAGGTCCTGGCACGGGACCAGGCACTGGAGAGAGTAGGGGGCTCTGGGTCCAGTTGCTGGTCATACTGGGGATCTGCCGTTTTGGTCGCCTCTCCCACCCGTACAGTGTAACATGTCGTCTCACCCACCAGATACAAGTCCTCCGGGCAAACAACGTTTTGTGCCATGTGTACTAAGGCCCTGCTTCGCTGGAATGATGATCTTGGCAGAGATCTTTTTTATGCAAATAAATCCTTATTAGCAGTAACAAACGCAGCCTGCATGGGCTAATCCAGGAGATTTCCATCGTGCTGGCTGGGACCCCGAGGAGCACGGATACCCTGGAGGTGGGCGTTTCATCCCTCCAAGCAGTGGTACCTACTTCTGGGATCAGAACCGGGTGCGCAGCTACCTACAAAAGGGTCAGCCCCACCAGTTCAAATCTGAAAACCTGCAAGGGGGGAAGCAGCTCTGCAGCCGAGTTTCAGATGTGGACCAAGCATGCCTTTAAGAAAAAATAATCAGTGGGGTGTTCTTTAAGCCAGCTGGTGCCCTTTTAACAATGTCTAATTGGTTATCTTTTCTGTTTCCTAAGGTCAGAACATTTTATCTCCGTCTCTGCCCTTTCTGAGTTTACCCCACCCTGCGTTATTTTTTAGGGCAGCCATTGTAACAGAAGAATAGCCTCTTTCCTCCATAGTCTGGTGACACAATGAGACTTCTTGAAACCTCCTGAATAGATATAGTGCAATGGCAAAAGGAAAATTCTATTAACGCTTTGCAAAATAAAACATCTAAGAGCTGGTTAGACAAGCAAAAGAAGAAAATCAATACGGAGAGGGCAGCACACTTAGAAAAACTTTTCACCGGTTGCAAAAAGGTGGCGAGGGTATGGGAGGGAGGGGGAGAAAGAAACTTATTAATTCAGAAAACCCATCAATGGTATGGAAATCTGGCAGAACAGCAAGAACTGAAACTAGAAGAATCTCAATATACAAAGGGCTGAATAGAATGAGAAAACCACACTGCCTCACACACACAGCCCATTTCTCACGGTTCTCTGTGAATCAAACACAAGCGGCTTGTTCAAGTTTTCACCAAGGAGAAATAAGGGACACAGTCAAGGTAACCGGCAGTAAACCCTTAGTAAGCAAATTGATCCCTATTTCAGGGGAAGGAAAAAAACACACAACCCACAGATGAAACTCAAGTAGATTCAGGAGCTGTGATTGTCCAAAAGTTAACCCCCTCCTCCAACCTGAGGCTCCCTTGCTGGCCCAATATTTTAAAGATGCTTGAACAGCATGTATTCCAGATCTCAACTCAAAACATGCAACTAGCACCCTGCTTACAAAAGAGAAGAAAGTTTTCTCCAGGGTTAGAAATGGAACTGGAAGATGCAATTGCCACCTTCAAGACTTGGCTGAGGTACACCCAGGACTGATCACCCACCACGCACCGTCAGCTGAACCCTCTTATCAGCTATGAAAGTGGCCTCCTGTAAGCATGTTCTCTGGGCACGGCGAAAAACAACACACCAGTGAAGAGCTAAATTTCTCCAGTACAGGTGTGAGATGCTGAGCCACCAAGCAGAGAGCCACCTCCCACCCAGCGCACTCAGAAAGCTCCTGGCAATCCAAAAATTTCTATCTGTTTTCAGATGTAGTATGACTCAATATGGAGGCTTAAAGGAGCTGATTAATCTGAACTAATTATGGGCATCAAATGAGAGCATATTACAAAATGAACGCAGTCTTAGCACTTAAGGTAAAGGAAAAAAAAGAAGAAAAAAAGACTTGCCAGATAATACCAGTTGCAAATGGTCCAACAGACTTCTCTGTCCCAGCATACCCCAATACATACATCCAATTTAGACCCAGTTTCTTATATAAAGCCTAACTAATGGGCTTTAGTTTGTTTAACTTTTTTTTTCCAATCCACTTGGGGCTGTGAGAAAAGGAAGGGGTATACAACTTCTTTAATCACTGCCTGGAAGGAGGAATAGGGAAGAATAGGAGGAAAGAAAAAAAACTGGAGGAGCAAAAGGCTTTAATAATCCTAACAGTTCCCAGGGTTATTTAAAATATGCCCAACCAGTTCACAAAAGGCTCCACAAAGATAAATGTATTTGATTTTCTTCCACTTTAATGGAGGCATACATTTAAAGCAACAAAACCAGGGTGACCTAAATAAAATGACTATTAATTGTACTCAGAAAGGCTCTGAATTTAATGCAACTGATCTAGCCCGGTACAAGAACACACAATATTCTCCATTCATTCCTCCCACTTTCCTCTTCAGGATTTTCAACTCCCCTCCTTTCCACGAGGCAGTCCTGAGCAGTCAGAGATGATCAAA